TGCTTTGTTCAGAGGCAGAATTTAGCACTGCAGCCCAGAGAAAGCCTTGAGGCCAGATGCTTTTTTTATAAAAAGTGTTAGGCTTTGGTAAAAAAAAAAAAGAAAGGAAAGAAAAGAAAAAAATTGGATTATTCCTTTTGTTAGCAGGGTACAAGGGAAAAAACACAAAAGTGCGGAGAAATTTAGCCCCGTCTCACCAGCGCTCCCTTGGGATACACAGTCTAGGCCTTTTGTTGTAAAGTGGTCAGTAGATGAATCTTAAGAAGAGAGGAGTGACCCTTCACTTACGTTTATCAGCTGTAGTTACAATTGGAGGAAAAATGATGGAAAACTCCATGTTTGCTTCTCAAAAGGTGGTCGAGGAGAAGAGATAGATGACCAAGAAATGGATCAAAGAGGAATTAGGGGCTGACAGAGGCCGGGGAAAACACTCTACCCAACAAATTAGTGGCATGTAGCAAGAAGAACAGGGCCTACCCTCTCCCACTGATATAACTCCATCTGAAGTCATGCAGGAGTGCTGTCTGATGAACTTAAAACTGCCGATGAAAAGCTTCAGTGGGCATGGGTGCTCTAGCCCGCAAACACTTGTACCCAATGGCACGGGTTGGGACTTCCAGGGGAGGCCGGTCTCTTGGTTGTTTTTGCTAAGAAAAGAAAAAAAAAGAAATGACACCCGTCCGCCCCTGCCTGACTCTCCTGCTCTCTCTCTCTCTCTCTTGATCCGTGTTTTTCAGCAATGACATTGCCCTGGTCAAGCTGGCGGAGGCGGTCCCGTTCAGTGAGACCATCCAGCCCGCCTGCCTCCCGCCCGCGGCCAGCATCCTCCCACAGGACTACCCCTGCTACGTCACCGGGTGGGGTCGGCTCTTCAGTAAGTCCCGGGCTTGGCCGGGGAGGGGGTGTGTGAGTCAGGGCAGGGCCCCCTCCCTCTCTTTCGGGAGGGGCAGCCCCCCCGTGCCATTCGTGTGGGCCCAGCCGGAGAGCCACCGTGACCCCTTTCCCACAGGCAGAGCCCTCGTTTTGAGGTTCCCCCACCACCTTCCCGTGGGGTTTCCCCCAATCCCAAAAGGGAGCAAGATCTCCCTCCTGGCGGAGATGGGCAGCGAGGTTCCACCAGGGGGGCTCCATCTTTGTCCGTGGCCTCAGGCAGCGAAACCCTTGGGTCAGCCACGGCTGCTAGGTGGGGTTTGCTGACCTTTGGATGCCAACGTTCAGGTGGCTGAAGAAGGAGCCCAGGGCCAGCAAAGGCGGGAGGAGGGTGCAGATGGGGGGGGTCCAGTGGCCCTTACGGCTCTCCTGTTCCCTCCCCTCCAGCCAACGGGCCCCTGGCGGACACCCTGCAACAGGCGCTGCTCCCGGTGGTGGATTACAGCACGTGCTCCAAGTGGAACTACTGGGGCTCCTCCGTGAAGGAGACCATGGTCTGTGCGGGAGGAGATGGCGTCAAGTCCGGATGCAACGTAGGTTCCCCCTCTCCCCCTCCTCGCTCGCCTCCTTCCCAAGCGGAAGGTCCTGAACATGATGCTACAACGGCCAGGTGCTCTGACCGATGCCTGTATTGGCCAGGGCTTCCAGATGCTGTAGTCTGAGAGAACCCCTTGCAAAGTATTTGCCTCCAAAACATAATGAAGAATCTTATCCGTGAACCTGCACTTCATAGTTAGAGCTCCCCTCAGTAGACCACCCCTTATTGGTGAGTTCCCCTCAACTGGCACTTACTGTCTCGATAACTCATTCAGAGACAATGGCAAGAGGGAGAAAATTAAAAGGTTCCATTTTACTCACAGTTCGTCGTAGATCAAAACAAAATGGAAAAAATATTAACTGGTTAGACGAACAGAGCTTAAATGATTCATAGCTACATCACTGCATGGCTTCAATACACTGTCTGTCTTCAGACTACCTGATTTTAAAAAGAACGGGAAAAGCATCTTACGTAGAGAGGGGTGTCTCTCTTCAAAATCTGAGGCAGAGGCTGGTATGCGATTGACTGGCAGTCGTCTCTCCCCCCCCCCCCCCCCTAGAAAGGCCTTTCCCCAAAACCTTTGAAAGGCAACCTGTGAGGGGGAAATAATCCCAACAGGGCCCCACTTTCGTTGCCCTGGCTCAGGGCCACCTGGGACTTTCAGTGGGGTCAGAAACTTATTCCCCTCTGGTCTAGCGCCAAGTAGGGTGAGGGTGGGCACTGTCAGTGAAGGCTAAGGCCATGGACAGGATCCCTTCGGGTTTCCTTCGGGTGGAGCCATGGCAGTAACTCTGTGGAGCCGATGTGCTCTCGACCAAAGGTCCAGGGGCTAAACTGGGGCCTCCGTTCAGCCCCTAACCCTCTCCTTCCTCCCTCCCCCCGCATCAACCCTGTAAGGTAGGACAGGCTATGAGGAGAAGGCGCTGTGTCCTCTGGTTCTTCTCCAGGTCGGGGTTGGGTTCTTTCGACTTTGCCCCTCTGCCCTTTCAAGGGTGCCCCCCCATGCCCTTGGCGCTTCCCCCCCCCCTTGGCTGGGTCTCTTGATGTCGAAGTAAAACGCGGTCTGGTCTTCGCCCTTTTTCTCACAGGGAGATTCTGGTGGCCCCCTCAACTGCCAGAGTGGGAACCTGTGGGAGGTCCACGGCATCGTCAGCTTCGGCTCAGGACTGAGCTGCAACCTCAAGAACAAGCCCACCGTGTTCACGCGCGTCTCTGCCTACATCGATTGGATCACAGAGGTGAGCAGGACGGAGGGGGGGTTGTTCTCTTGGCACCGTCGAGGGTGGGAACGGGGCGCTTTTCGGGAGGCCCCCAGAGGCCCTTCCCTGTTCCTGGCCTGGAGGCCTCGGGAACACAGAACGCCAAAGCGTCCCCATGATCGAAGAGTTGGGTTCCAGGCTTCATCGGGTCACCGTCCGAGAGCAATGCCGAGCCCAGGAAAGTTCCGGAGGGAGCGGCCACTCCCAGCATCCTCCAGCCAACATGGCCATTTCCAAGGACTGTTCATGGATCGGCCAGTCTTCCACTTAAGAGGCATGGGTGTGTGGGGGTATCCCAGCTTCCGGCATGGGGCGAGGGTGCCTTGATGGGGGGGCATCTTGTGCAGATTCTTGGTTCATCATGTCAACTGAGCAGGCAGTTGGTTACACGCGAACAGGCCCCAGCCAATCCTCTGCTCCAGAGTAACCCTCAAGACGGCTCGTCAGCTGTACAAGAGCGCCGAGCGCTTGACCCATCCACGGTTGTGTGAACAACAACAATTGGTTGTGCAAGCCGTGCTGTGCGAGGGTGTTCCAGAGCAGGGCCTGGAGTTTCAGTATTTACATGGCTAGGATTTGAAATCTGTGCAAAATTGTAGAATGGGTGCCTTTTGGTGCTACACCTCCCAGGGATCCTGCCGGCTGGGCAGCTGTGGGATGGATCGGGCCCAGAAGCAAAAGGGTTTGTAAGCTCCGGTTGAAATGGACGATTGCTCTGAGGTTGCCTTTCCTTCTTCGGTGGACGACGAGAGCAAGGGCTCCCAGCCTTGGGTCACCCTCGGTCACCTCTTGGACTGCCGCTCCCAGAAACCCTGACTGGCACAGAAGATGGGGAAGGCTTCTGGGAGTGGCAGTCCAAGAGCAACGGGGCAGGGAGCCACCGGACTAGAGCATGACAAACACACTCGCACATACACACAGTATGGAATTCATTCGTCTTTGGTTGTTTTTTCTTCCACTAGAAAATGAACGAGTGAGAAGCCCGCCTTGGGATTCAGTGCATCAACCCGGCAGAAGCTTAATAAACTTTTCATCAGAATCACAATTGTGTTGATGTGGCTTTGTTGTGGTTTCTGTCCCCCCCACCCCACCCCACTGCCAGAGTTCTTGCAGGAGGAACATAGGAACACTCGGAGGGGGGGGGGATTATCCGGCAGCACACCCAAGACACCAGCGGGGGGGGTGACCTTCCTTGGGGGTGGGGGGGATGGACTACAGTCCCCCTAATCCTTCAGCCAGCAGGGCCACCCAGCAGGGCTCAATGTTTTCATCTTAAAACATATAAGGAAACGTACCCTTGATTAATCCATCCCGATTAATCATGACTGTAGATTCGAGGAACCCAACGCCCGGAAGGCTGCCACGTTCCACCTTCCACAGATAATCTTTAGCAACCTCCGCAGAACAATCAAGAAACCTTTATTTGTCTGTTTGTTTAATTCATTAATTGGACTGGCATCTGAAATGAACTTTTTTTTTCCACTTCTGGTCTTCATAAAATCGATTCTTGTTGCTTGGAATCTCCTTTGAGTCTCCTGGTAAGCGGTTGTGCTTTTCTAGCTGGGAAGTCCCCTATCGAATGATGATGACGACGATACATCAACTATTTTCCACCGTATTTTAGCTTTTCTCACCTGCCTCCGCGTCCTAAAAGAAGGGGCTGCGTTAAGAAACCCTCCGGTTGTAAAGGACTGATTCCTTCGTATCGAATCAGGCTCTGGAAATTCATCAGATGCTCCCACAGATTAACCAAAAGGCATTTAATTCTGTGCCTCCCACCGACTCCTGGAGATTTTTGAGAATTCACGAAATTGGTGACAGAATTATTACTTTTCCATCTAAAAATCTGAAAGCGAAAGGAAGGGGGGGACACATTCCAGGTGAGACCGGCCCCAGAACAGCGTTCTCATCGGAAGAGGGGTTTCCCAGGGGCCAGTCCATTGACTAGATGGGTGGGATTTAAATTAAATAAAAATATGATTCCGTTGAGCCCTTTCCGGCTTTCAACCTCCTAGCTAGACAGCTGAGTGACAGCGTTAAAGGCGGCAAGCCGAATTATGGGAGAAATGACCTCAGTGTTTCAAATGTAATAATCATTGCATGCCGTCAAGTTGATTCTGACTTTCCAGGGCTTTTTAGCTCAAGAGTACTCAGAAGCCGTTTCCCCTTCCCTTCTTCTGGGAGAGATGATCCTCTCTGGGACGGTGGAGTTTTTGCCGAAGGCTCCCCAGGCCGGCTCTTTCCCTTTTTGGAGGCTGAGTGGGAGAATCAAACTCCCAACCCCGCTGCCAGAGACCTCAACCAGGGAGCGATCCAGCACCAAAGACTCTTTAGATCACCAGGAGAGCTTGTCTGTGTAAGTGCACAGATCTCTAAACGAATTTCGGTGTTGATACATGTCCTCTTTTTCCACCTAAAAGAGGAAAATTCTCAGAAGGCAGGAACTACAAACTCAAGAATGAACAGTGTAGTCAATGCTCAGAGGACCAGAAAACTATAAAGATCCAGATAGCCACGAAAATCACAATATAAACCACAAGGAATGTAAACAATTATTCAGGGACAAGGACTTGGACACGGTGGAGGCCGCACTCAGAGGAGAACTTGAGGCAAAAGGGAACATTAGGGTTATCAACCCCCCGGGCAAATTTATTTATTTATTTATTTATTGGACTTATATACCGCCCCATAGCACTACAAGCACTCTCCGGGCGGTTTACAATTTTTAATTATACAGGCTACACATTGCCCCCCCCCCCAGCAAGCTGGGTACTCATTTTACCGACCTCGGAAGGATGGAAGGCTGAGTCAACCTTGAGCCGGCTACCTGGGATTTGAACCCCAGGTCGTGAGCACAGTTTTAGCTGCAGTACAGCGTTTTAACCACTGCGCCACGAGGCTCATAATCCTCATTCAGGATTAACACCCTGTTTTGGAATTGTGGGCTGGAAGTACAGTGATTGTCGTCACACTTTCCATAGCCCAAGTGGTCCTCTCAAACTAGTGAGGCATCATTCAAAGGCATGTACAGAGTGCCTTTATTTGCCCTGGCACTGACGTGCTGACCTCAAGATTCTCTGTATGAGTCAAAGAGTCAAATTTCAAAAACTGTTTCTGTGGCAGGCTAAGGGGGCTTTCAAGGAGAGAGAGTTAAAGGGTTTCGACAACGTCCACTCCCCCCAGGGAGTTTTTCCATGGCTGAGCGGAGATTCGAACCCTGTTCTCCAGAGTCCTAGTCCATCACTCAGGTCACTACACCACACGGGTCATATAGGGACCTGGTTATTTGAAAGAGGCACTGTCAGAAAATAATTATGGAACACAGGGTAAAAGGATACACGTTGAGCCTGTCGGAAATCTGAAGCAAAACCAACACCAACAATTCAGCATCTCAAGCTAGTGAATGACATGTTCCAAGTTGCAAAGATCTGCCCCCCCCCAGTTGGCTATGGGCTACCTGCTGTCTTCCCCTCCACGTTATAAATTCCAGCCACCTCCAGTTTTAGAAAACAAAAACGCCATCCTAAACTGGGACACACAAGTTATCACGGATAAAGAAAGTTGATTTTGATAAGCTGGATATTAAACTTTGGGATAACCAACAAAGAAAAATGTGCCTTACAGAAGGCAACGAGGAAGGCAAAAAGTGCTAAAATTACAAAACACTGAAGATTAAGGCCAGAAATTAAAAGACTAGGGAAGCAAGACTGGGCCATCCTCCTCCCCGTATGAATATCAGCATGACGTCAGTCCAAAATCTTTGGCCACTGGGTTTTTTGTTTTTGTTTTTTAAATCACATTAGCCGCCAATTTGTTTCTTGAAATTCACAAATCAGTGATTTTTGCAAACGTATCATCTCACCTACAAATTCTTAGGACTTGACTCTGAATTGTTAGCCTTGACCCTTTGGTCCAGGCACCAGCAATGGTGAAAAATTAATGAAAGGATAATGATACAGGCCTCAAGGCCTTTATATGTACGCATATAAAGTGCTGCTTATTTACCAACCCATAGTGCTTCTCTGCCCAGAGTTGTTTGCAATGTTTAATTATGGAGGCTACACAATGCCCCCTCCCCCCACACACACACCAACGAGCAAGCTGGGCACACATTTTACTGACCTCGGAAGGCTGGAAGGCTGAGTGAACCTCGAGCCGCCTGTCAGAGCCGTGCGTATCCGTGAGCAGAGTTTGGGCTGCAATACTACCATTTTAACCTGTACGACAATCACTGCCCCACGAGGTCCGCCAGGGGATCCCGGCTCATCAGGGAGCCTGACAACATGGAAGAGTTATCTATCACATTAGATGAAACAACAAGCATGTGGTGGCACTTACTCTCTGGGGGGCTCGCCAATCCATCTCGCATCCCCTGCCTCTGAAGAAGGAGCGCGCGTCCGACAGCCCTGGTCCCTTCCCTGAGCTGCCCGCCTCAAAGTGGACCGACCCTGAAGCCGGCGGATCCCTAAGTCTCAGGACTCAGGTTTAAACCTTGTTTCCACCCCGACTCAGATCGTGTGTGTGTGCTGTGTAAAATTGTATGGTTTGTAAGACATCTGAAGAGAAGACCCTGGAAGGTCTTGTTTCATTGCTCTTCTGTTCGTGGAGACAACCTCTGTGGGTGGAATTCCTTTTTGCGCTCCTTCGGCTGCCTTCCTACACAAGAGGAGTGTGCAGGGCAGACACACCCACAAGGGCTCAAGTGGAAGAGACTCCCTGCCCTGGGGTGACCCCCTGGGCGTCCAGGAGGGTTCTGGATTCCCAGGTCAAGTCTCAGCTACTCCAGGGGCATCTTCTCCACGGGCTTCTCAGAGACCTAGACCCGTTGGGAGCCCATTGGGCCGGATACCCTACAGCCGGTGGGGTTGGGTCCACCAAGCACCTCTGACCCCAAGACCCCGACACCCACCACAATGGCGAAACCTCCCAGTCTGATCCAAGAATTGGGAGAGGCCCCCCGCTTCCAGAAACTCCCTGAGCGTCGGAGCCGATTGGTCAATGCCAGGGGGGAGAACCTAGGCAGGCAACCCAGTGCCACCCTTCCGGCCAGGGAACTCTCCCTTGAAGGTGGGACCCCTTTTTTGGGGGGACACACCCCAACGTGATGAAGGGGTGTGTCAGAGAAACCAAGAGCAATGTTGCCAGGCTCCCTGATGAGCCTAGATTCCTAATGGGGTCACCCAAGGCGCAAATGTTCATGGCTGAGGGGCCACCCTCATCAGGAGGAAGAGTCACATCACCATCAGAAGAAAACGGCTAGTTCCAATGATGATCGGGTGGAAAAAATGTCTGGAGGGCAGCGGCGGCAGCAGCTGAAAGTGATACTGGTGGATGATCCTTCACAGACAATGGCAGTGACAGTCCAGCTAACTTTTGTCAGCATTGTGCAGAAAAAGGCAGTGTTAAACCATGGCTGAACCTTTCAAACCTTGAAAACCCCGTGGTGAGACAGTCCAGTCTGAAACAAGAGATAGTGCTGGAAAACGAGACTCCCAGGTCAGAAAGCGCTCAGTTGGTTATCAGGGGAAAGCAAACGAAAAGTTATGAATGTGCTGTCACTAATAAAACAACTAGATTGAAGCTAAGATGATGTCTAGTGTAATTGGAAGCAGGAGATGGGGAAGGTCTCTCAGCCAGAACAAGACCACGGGCAGATTGTAATACTGATCATGAAGTGTTAATGTGAAACATCAGAGTAAAGCCGAAGAAGAACACTAAAAGAATCCTAGTGAAAGAAGGAAGGGCTAAAGCAGGATTGCAGTTGAACATGAAAAAGACCAAAATCATGTATAGAGAAGAACGTCACAACTTTAGTGTTGCCTGTGAAGAAACTGAAATTGTTAAAGATTAATTATACTTTAGTTCAATCATCATTCTAAACGGAGACTGCAGCCAAGAAATCCAAAGAAGTTGGGGGCTCGGAAGGCAGCCAGGAAGAAAGTAGGAAAGACCATCGAGTGTCAGGAGCTGTCCCTGGAGGCCAAGATCATCCACAGTCCTGCATTTCTGCTCACCATGTTACGGGTGTGAAAGCCGGACAGTGAAGAAAGCTGGAAGGAAACACAACTAATTTGTTTGCAAAGTGGTGCTGGAGGAGAGCTTTGAGGAGACGATGTCTGGACGAACAAGTGGGTCCTGGATCGAATCAAGTCTGAACTTTCTCTGGAGGTGAAAAATATTGAAACAGGCTGTCCTACTTTGGAGACTTCCTGAGAGAACAAAATTGCACAGTAAGAATTGCTTGGCAATTTACAAATTTGCTCAGTAAGAATTGTCTTAGGAGGTGGTGGGCTTCCCTCTGGAGGAGGCAGATCAGCCTGGGATGATGGCCACCTCTGCAGAATCCTGTAACTGCCAGTGACTGGAAATAATTCTTAAAACAATTCCCCTAATCCCCGAGTCAGCATGGCCAGAGGGGGATGATGGGAGTTGTTACTCAAAAGACTGGCATTCTTGAATCCCCCCCCCCAAACAACCCCATTCTCCAAATGCCAAAAACTTGACTGAGTGGCCTCACTGTCTCCCATCCTGATCTCTCCCAGAAGAGCTGTTTCTGGGCACAATTCAAAGCACTGTTCCTATAACGTTATCAAGCCCTAAACAGCTTGGGTGCAAACTATCTCAAGAACTGCATCTCCCTTTATGAGCCTGCCTGTGTGTGAAAATCATCTCAGTCCCACCATCCTCAAGGTGCATTTGGTGGGGACCCGGGAGAGGGCCTTCTCGGTGGCTGCTCCTTTAGACTCTGGAACTCCCTCCCACTGGAGGCCAGCCTGGCCCCATCTCAGCTCTCCTTCCGCAAGCAGGCGAAGACCTGTCACTTTAGGCAAGCTTTCCCTGAGTGATTGGCTGTCGACTGGGGTTTTTTTAATGGATGGTTGTGCCTTACTGCCTGGGAATGTGTTTTTGGTGTTAGCCATTTGTAAGTGCGTTTTTTTAAAAAAATCCTTTTTCGTATTTGTATACTTATAGTTTTTAGCCTTAAATATTGTGTTTGATTCAAGTTACCAGCCTTGAGTCCTTCTTAAGGCGAAAAGCAGGCTCAGAATGTTTTGAATGAGTGAAGGAACGAATAGGTCGCCATGTCTATGCTACTGTAAGCTCACTGGAAGTCTGATGGGATATAAAGGCAAGAAATCATTATATAAGCAGATCGATGGATGTGTAAACAAACGGGCGATGCCCTCCGGAGCCGTATCTGGGTTAGGGGACCCTCTAATTTCTGCAGCTGTTTCATTCTCTCCTCCACCCGCTGAATGCCATCTGCAGAGTTCCCAGAAAGTTGGCAACATCTTGGGAGATTTTTGTTTTCGGCTCCCAGGTTCCTGTCAAACCAGGCCAGGGTGGAAGGTCTCCATAGGGGAAAACGTATTAAATCCATATTTTAATGCACACGGCCTCGTTTTCCACTTTTCCACCGATACAAAAAACTCAGTTTCCCTTAAAGATCTATTATTTACCATGGATTTCTCCAGTCAAGAAATTTGTATCAATATATTCATGCCGGGCGAAAGCGCATACAAAAAGAAATCATGTTTTTTTTACAAAAATTGCACAGCAAAAAAAAAAATCAGATTATAAAGCACACCCAAAAGCAGCATAATCTATGTATTATTTATTAGTTGCAGCTACATCCTGCCTTAGGGCCTCTAGCTGCAGAGCCACAGATGGGGAGTTCGATTCCCCCACTGGGCCTCCTTGAGAAGGGGATGGACTGGATGATCCTACAGGGTCCCTTCCAACTCTGCGGTTCCATAAGACGATTATCCTAATGAGCTGATGGGCCTGTGCAAGGGAGTCTACGCTTTGCCACTGCTTTATTACAACCACTGGCTGAGAGCTTGCAAAGAATTTGCATGGAAGGAAAGAAATCATGCACCAAAAAAAAAACCTATGTCTGGCGAAATGTGCATACGTAAATATTATAAATGCTAATGCAAAAAAATTTTTTTAAACAAATTCTCAAAGTTTGGGATAAAACAAAGTTGCAATCACCGAATGTTGTCAAGTCAGTTCTGATGTATGGGGAACCTTTCCAGATAGAGCTCAGAAGCGGATTCCTCTCCCCTTCTTCCGGCGGGGGATCCCTGCTTTTGCCACCCAGGCTGGCTATTTTCCCAGAGGGAGGAATCGAACTCCCAACCTGAGCTATCCAGCCAATTTAATATTGGAGAAACTTGAAGCCTGGGACAGACTGTGCTCAAGGCTGAAAAAACCAGGAACGGAAGCTGAGGGACCTCCCTCATTATTCCCACCTCAATCCTTCTTTCAACCCTTCCTTGTTCATCCATCTTGAATGCTTCGACTGCAAACGCCCGGAGGCGGCTCAGAGAAGGCCCTGGCTGTGCCCTCCCCCGGGCGGATGGCTTCCAGTTGCGGGTGATCCTGTACAGCTGCTCCCGAGCTAGGTTTCTTGCTTTGAACTATAAGGCCCAGCATCCACCAACAGCGAGTTTGGGGAGCTTGCCCTTGGTCCATGTTCTGAGGCGCTTCTCCCAGGGCGGCGGTCTTTCAGGAAGTGAGTGACGGCTGTGTTGGTGGGAGAGGAGGCAGCTGCCATCCGGAGCCCTGAAGGCTTTGGCAGCGCTTTCGGAAAGACGCGAAGGGGGGGGAAACGTGTCCGTTTGCCACACCTCCTGCTGGCACACCAGGGGCCCCATGTGGGCCCTTTCCCTCCGTTGGCACTCCTGCTGGCAGGCCGGCTGGGAATCTACCCTGCCAGCATATAAGACCAGCCCGTTGGGGGGAAAAGGTCTCGCTTGCAGAAGAAATCCCCTCGGCCATGATCGGGATCCTCTGTGTCGTGCTGGCGTTGGCCTCCGAGGGTAGGGTTCCCATGCGGGATGAATACATGCATGCAGCGCCTGTTCAATTTCATTTAAATTTTTCAATTACAGTGGTGCCTTGCTAGACAGTTACCCCACATGACAGTTTTTTCGCTAGACATTGGCTTTTTGCGATCGCTATAGTGATTTGCAAAACAGTGATTCCTATTGCGGAATTTTGCTGATTTTCGCTAGATGACAATTTTGACAGCTCCCTCCGCGCTCGCAAAACAGGTGTTTTTGGGACCTAAGCTTCACAAGACAGCAATTTAAACAGCTGATCGGCGATTCACAAAGCAGCTTTCCTGTGGCTGATCTTCGCTAGACAACGATGATTCTTCCCCATGGTAATGCATTAAACAGGTTTCAATGCATTCCAATGCTTTTCGCTAGACAATGATTTCGTTAAACAGCGATTTCAGTGGAACGGATTATCATCGTCTAGCGAGGCACCACTGTAGTTGTCAAATTCAGAGCCACAGGACGAGAGGGGCAGCTGCTCATCCCTGAGACACCTCTGGGGATTGGTTATTAGTAATAGTAGCAGGAGTCATTCTGACTCATGGCAACCCTTTTTCAGGGTTTTCCAGGCGGAGAATCCTCAGAAGTATTTCCCCCTTTCTTCTGGAGGGGGGGAAGCCCTGTGATGGCGCAGCCGGCCCACGGCTTACACAGGTTGGCTCTTCTCTCAGGAGGCCCCGGGGTGGGGAATCGAACTCACAAACTCTGGCTTGGCAGCTAGAGGCCTCAACCCCTGAGCGATCCAGCCAGCTATGGGAGTTGATCAAGGATCTGGCTAAACAAGGACTTTTTAAAAGCAGGTTCCATGGATAAAGGTGATCAGGTACGGCATAAAAGGCGGAGAGCTTCCGCGTGTAGAAGCAGTCTATCTCACAGGGCTTGCTGCCAGGGGAGATCATGGGGACTGCTTCCATCACGGATAAACCTCACGGACATAATTCGTGGCCTCCCCTTGGGGACACCAAAAGCCAGAAAGCTCTTTGGTCTCACCTGCCCAAGTCAGAGGTGGGTTTGTAGCCACGGTTTGGATCTCAGGTTGATCTGGTTTGTGAGCAGGCTGCTCTTGAAAGGAGGACTTGAAAGCAGGACCAACGGGAGGAGCACCAGAGTGGGATGCGTTCCTGATTTATTATTTATTTGGAGCCTCCTGGCGCAGGGGTTAAACTGCAGTCCTGCCGTCGAGGCTCTGCTCACGACTTGAGTTCAGTCTCGACAGCCTCAAGGCTGAGTCAGCCTTCCATCCTTCTGAGGTTGGTAAGCTGAGTGCCCAGCTTCCTGGGGGGCGGGCGGGCAAGGTGTAGCCTTGCACAAACCATTTGTAAGGGCCCAGAGAGTTGCTGGGGAACGCAAGGAAGATGGGAGCTCCTTCCCTTCACTTCTAGCATGCTCAGGGGCCCTCCATTTGCTCTGCTAAATGCTCACCTGGATTCTGCCCTGTGTTGTTTGCAGCCTTGGCTTGTGGGAATCCCGCCTACAAGCCCAACGTATCCAGAGTCGTCGGAGGGGAGAACGCGAGAAAAAACAGCTGGCCCTGGCAGGTAAGGAGGGCCGGCGCGGTCGGGATCTCTCCTCACAGGACGTGTCAGGCTTGTGGCTCTTCAGTCAGGGGGAGCTTCTATGGAATGGTTTTGGTTAAAAACGGAAAATGTAATATTTGCTGCTTCAGAAAATCCATTTGGAGACAATGCAGAAGAAAGGAAGAAACCCTTGACTGGGTTGCTGAAGCCCTTAAGAGCAGGATTTCAAAACAACAACAACAACTGCTGAGCTGGAAGGGACACCCGATGGGTTCCTGACTCCAGTCGCTGCCGAAGAGGCCCAGCGGGGAAATTGAACTCATGCCCCAGAGTAGGCTGGTAGTCCATGGGAGCAGGTCCTGGGAGCTGGGCACGGGAGTTGGGGAGAGACGCTTCTCTCACTTTCAGCTCCAGGTTCTCCCAGGGCCTGACCCCACATTGACAGCAGTGCAGGACCCCCCCCCCCCAATGGACAAGGGACTGGATTGGGAGGGCCTCAGTGGAAGAGTCTCCTGCCACGTGTCTGACGACCGACTGGCAGCCACCTTCAGGCCTGGAGTGGCAGGGTTGGGGGGAGTCGTGTCGAGGAAAGTGCCTCTGGGAGACCCAAAGGCCTCGAGGGGGGAGTGCACTTCTTCCCATGTTGAGTGTGGGAAGGTGAGGATCTGGGGAGAGGGAGGCTGCTCTGCCATGATCATCTCTTGGCACAAGCCAGAACCCCTCCCCCCCCGCCCCCGGTGTGTGTGGGTGTGTGATTCGGCCTCAGGGGTCTTGTCCTCTTTGCAGGGGGTGGGGGGGAGCAGGTCATGTTTCCAAGGTCCGTGCAGTGGTGGGGTGGAGGGCTGCTACACTTCCTTCGGCGCGACTAGCAACTGAATCGAGCTACTCTCTGCACATGTTCAATGGCAGCTAAAAAAGGAATATAACTGTAGGCTGGCATAGACCTTTGGCCAGCTGTTTGTGCATGCTCACCATATACAGGTGTCAGCTTCTTGAATGCCGCTATGATCACTTATGGTAATAATACAATTTTTCCCCACCCAAACAAGAAAGAGATAAAGTTCAGCACCCTGGACAGCATCTGGAAGTTTTGGCCTACCCTGGAGATGGGCACGAATCATCACACTGGTGGTACACGCAAGTTCGTGTTTCGGCCAAAGAGGGCTTCAACACTTCCCAGCTGTGCCTCCTCCAGCAGGAGCCCACTCAGAGGCAGCGCCCTGGCTTCCCTGCCCTGCCTCCTCTGAGCACTGTCTCTGAGTGGGGCGCCTGCTGGAGGAGGTGGGCCTGGGCAACACCCAACGCCTCTTTGGCGGAAAGACCTCCACCTCAGCATGTGTGCAACTTCCCGGTGCAATGGGTTGTCCCCCTCCGTGGCTTGGACTATCAATCCCATCAGCCCTCCCAGGAAGCTGCCGGTGAAGAATGATGGGAGTTGTAGTCCAAATCCAGAGGGCTATGCATTTTCCCAACCCCGATGTAACTTACTCTTGGAACAACGCATGTCAGGATTTGGGCCCTCTCCCCAGGTTCTAGAGCTCTTAACGGCCCGGAGTGTTCAGCCTCTTTTCTCAGAGGTGAGCCGCGGACCTTCGGTCGGCTGGAGAGAGAAGAAACATGAGACACAATATGCTAAGAAAGAGATGCCAGCATGGTGTCCACCTCAACAGTAACTCTTTCATAGTCACTGATAAGTCTTGAGCAGCTTTTAGCAGAGAGGAGCAGATGAACACCACCACAATGCCCAGAAAGGGTTGAGGCATGCCAAGGAGAAGAGAAGGATTTTGTCAGGAGACAGACATGCTCTGTAGGGAGGGAGACAGAAACCAGAAGAGCGGGAAGGGACGGAAATATACGCCTGGAAGGCAAAGGGAATGATCCCAAAGAGGAGACTCAACCTGACCTTTAGATCGCAAAAAAAACATGGCTGCAGAAAGGAGCAAGGAGGGTGATGAGATTCGAAACAAAACAAATAAACCCTCATCCAGAGGTTTCCCTTTGGAGCCTTGTCTTGGGAATTTGTTGGTCCCACTGAAGGCTTTGTCAGAAATAACCTGTTAAATTGGAAGAGAGAAAAGTCGCCTCCAGATCAAATGTCATTGATTGTGAAATATGGGCCATGAAATATGCAGGGAACGTACTCGGAGTTTGGAAAAGGGGCTTTTGCTGCAGACGGCAGGGAGGGAGATCTCTCTCATCCGGGCTGTGATCAGAGACTCCTGTGCAGCCTCAGCTCAATTGTGGATTAATTCTCCTCCAGGCCTCCCTCCAGTACCTGTCCAGTGGGAAATGGCGCCACACCTGCGGTGGATTCCTCATCACAAAGGACTGGGTCATGACAGCAGCTCACTGCATCAGGTACGTGGAGTCTGGGCCAAAATTGGTGGTGGCTTCCTCTAGAAGCTGAGGGGATGAGCTGCAGATTTGGCATTCAATAAGTAACTTACTTGGACCCCAAAAGCGAGAATCTCCTCTCAGCACTTGTTTGTTTTTTAAAGCGGCCCCTTTCCAAGTACTTTACTTGGTCATCTGAAGCTGAGGGAGATCCTTGGCCCAGGAATACTACAAGTGAGAAGGATCCTGGAACCATTTTAGATCATGAGCTGAATATGAGCCGATTGTGTGATGTGGCTGCAAAAAAAGCAAATACGATCTTAGGCTGCATTAACAGTTTAGTCTCCAGATCCTGTGAGGCACTCTATTCCACACTGGTTAGGTCTCATCTTGAGTTCTGCGTCCAGTTCTGGACACCACGCTTGAAGAAGGATGCTAACAAATTGGAAAATTTCAGAGGAAGGCGACGAGGATGATCAGGGGGCTGGAAACCAACCCCTCTGAGCAAAGATGAAAAGAACAATGTTCTTGATCATACCTGAGTGCAGAAAAGAAGACTGAGGGAAGATAGTAGGGCATTTTTCATATATTTGAAAGGCTGACCTACAGAGGAAGGGCAGGATCTGTTCTCGATCATCCCGGAGTGCAGGACACACAACAATGGGCTCAAGTGACAGGAAGCCAGATTTTGGTTGAATATCAGGAAAAATTTCCCAACTGTTAGAGCAGTAAGACAGTGGAACCAGTGACCTTAGGAGGTGGTGAGGGCTCCAACTCTGGAGGAATTTAGACAACCACCTGTGAGATCTGCTTGAATTTGGATTCCTGCCTTGAGCACAGACTTCGTCTTGATGGCCTCAGAGGTTCCTTTCAACTCCATTACTCTATGGTTCTAAGATTCTGTGCTGGTATATTCCTAAGTGCCAGGACTAACCATGACAGTCCATGTTCTGCCCCAAGCAAAATTCAAAAATTCAGACCTCTGTGTTTATTCCGAATGACCAAAGCAGCCATTTTCCTCTTGACCAGGAGAAAGCTTTCTGCAATAAAGGGGGGGGGGGGGAAGCTGGAACTGGCCAGGGCACGTGGACACGGAGAGGTTCCCATGAGCTAAAGATAGTTGAATAATATGTTGAGTTGATGCCCCAAATAAAAAGCAAGGATGATGCAGAATTTCTCAATCCATTGATCTTTGCCCCTCATCCGCAGTTCATCCCGAACCTATCGTGTCTACCTTGGAAAATACAACCTCGCGGCCACCGAATCCGGATCAGTTGCTGTTTCCCCGAAAAAGATCATTGTTCACCCCAAATGGGACTCCAGCAAAGTTTCGAACGGGTAACTTGATGACCTTTTCTTTCTTTCCTTACAAAAAGATTGGGTGGCTTGTAGACCAGAGCAAATTTGGGCCAGTATTTTTCCTCCTCGTTGAAATCTTTGGTTAGAATCATTGGAACTTCTACTAGAATCCCTCTTTATTAGAATTATCTAAATACAGTAGGACCCGCTTATCCATGAGATCATTGTTGATTCACTTATTCACAGTCTGAAAATATTTTAAAAATATTAAAAGAAAAAATCCTAGAAATATATATTTCTAAAGGTGAAGTTACCAAGACGGGCCACGAAAGGGAGCCAGAGGCCATTCTGTGTATAGCATTTGCTATTAAAATAGTGTTCGCCATAACCCGTCTTCTCCAGCATCCATAGGGGGCTTGGAAGGGATAACCCGTAGATACGGAGGATCCTACTGTATGTACCTACCTATCCTGAAAACACCAGCATTCTGGACAGAAATCAGGATTTTAAGTGAAACAGGCATGACTGAACTGTGTGTAGCGTAGTCTTCCTTCGACCTGATGGTCTTCCCCTTGGGTAGGACTACTCTGCCGATCTGCAAAAGCAAAACGGCTCTCTGGCTATGACGAAAGTTGTAGGTAACTCATCTGAAGTACATTGAGTCAAGGAAGGGGTAGCTAAATAGGATTCAGTTTATTTGACGACCCTAAGATATGAAGGCATAGGGTTGTCCAGCTGCCCCAGGATATGCCAAGCTCTCGGGATCCATTCCGACCGAGTCAGGCTTCGACTTTGGCCCAGTTGCCTGTTTGGACTTTGGCTGCCAGGATCTCTCAGCCGGCGTGTCTATCGGAGGATCTGAGGAGATTCAGTCCAAACCAGGAACTTCTCCAGACTTAGAGACGGAAGACCTTCTGAAACCTCTAAGGGAGGAGTCAGTCAGGACCAACCTAGGGGACCCTGGATCGGGTGTGTGGTCTTCTGTAAACCATGATGAAATGGAGGTCCACCCCACTGAGGGACATCCTGAGAGCTTAGAAGGATGGCGAACATATCTCCTCTGGAGCAATGTCGTGCCTTTGCTGTGCTGGAGCCCATGGATCGCATCTAGGGGGTGCCCAGGGCGTCAGGGAGAGCTGGTCTGGTGCCATGGTTGGCGTGGGGGCCCCCCCTCAGATTTGGGAGGTTCAGGCTCCAGCCTCTACCATGCCAGGTAACTCACTGGGCGATCTCCGGGCAAGCCGTTTCTCCCCGAGCCTGGCCTACTTTGCAGGGCAGTTATGAGGCGAAGGTGGGGAGGAGGGGGAGGGCCGTGGATAGGCCATCTTGGCCGAGAGAAGAAAGAGAGCAATGAATAAATGGAGCACTCCGTGTTCTTCCTGTATTGGTACTTTTCCACAATCCTTCCAAACTAGGAATGACATCGCCCTGATCAAGCTGGCAGAATCCGTCCCCCTGAGCGACCAGGTCCAGCCAGCGTGCCTCCCGAAGGCAAACAGCATCCTGCCCGGCAATTCCGTTTGTTACGTGACTGGGTGGGGCCGTCTCATAAGTAAGTGGTGGGTTTTTATGGGTGTCTTTCTTTCCGGGCAGGTCTCCCCCCCATGAGAAGGGCTGAGGGGGGTGTGTGTCTCCTTCTGGCCACCGCTGGGCAGCTGCCCCGGTTCCCCAGGGACCCCTGAGCGTTGTTGTCGTTTTGTAAGGCATTGAGCTGATGGGAGGAGGGGGAGGATTGATCCCTGTTTGAAGCAGGGAGATGGAGCCGCGTTTCGTGGGTCCCCCTGGACTGTGAGAAAGAGCAACATAAAACTATAGGAAATTCGCTTTCTAAGCACTCAGCTAAGAACAGTCGTCGCGTACTAGAGGGGAGGCAGAGACTGGCAAATTGGAACTGTTTCTAAGTCTTGGGTATGCAAATGTAGGCATATGAATCTCCTGCCACTCTCGGTTTTAAGCCATCTGCTTAACTTCAAAAGAAACAACAACAAACCAGAAAGGGAACAGGATTTTGTGCAGTATGTTTTCTACAGCGCCCTCCCCCTACCTTTGAATTACTTTCTTTGCCAGGAGCTGCTAGTTGTCAGAGCACTTATTAGGGGTGTCCACCCACCCCGAGCTGGATGCGCTGCCTTTAGCAGCCTAAATATAGGGAACAAACCATGTTGTCTCACGGTGCAGGGGCTAAACTGCAGTCCTGCAGTCAGGCCTCTGCTCACCGCCTGAGTTCGATCCCGATGGGCTCACGTAGCCGGCTCAAGGTCAACTCAGCCTTCCATCCTTCTGAAGTTGGTAAATTGAGTGCCCAGCTTGCTGGAGGGTGTGTCTGCAATGTACCCATTGATTGAGGAGGGTTTCTAAAGCTTTGCCTTGCCCCTTCTCTTGGGGGACTCTTGCAGCGAACGGGCCCTCGCCGGACCTCCTGCAGCAGGGGCGGCTCCTGGTGGTGGACCATGCCACCTGCTCCAGCCCCAGCTGGTGGGGCAGCACCGTCAAGGCCACCATGGTCTGCGCGGGTGGCGATGGCGTGATCTCCAGCTGCAACGTAAGTCTGCGTGGAGAGCGGTGGTGGCAGCGGCAGGCGGGTGCGCCTCCAGAACTCAGCGCCGGAGGAGGAGGTGGGTTGGAAGCTGGGGTGTGGGGGCGGCTGGGCAACCCGGGGCACCTCTCTCTGCCCGCCCCCCACCGCCCCCAGCTGGCCTCCGGGGTCTCTGCTTCAGCATATGCTCTCGCTGACCCTCTCCCTAATGCCCCCCAGGCCCATCCGTCCAAGGCGCAGGTGGGGTGGTGGTGGAAGGGGCTGGAGGACCTGGATGGAACTCACGAGCCTTCTTGTTACTCGAGTCCTTGGCACAGCGGCACAAAGCCCGGGCGGCGGTGGCGGTGGGGGACTTGGGTGGAGGAGGGCGACAGAACCCTGTTTCCAAGCTCCATGTCAAGGCAGCCTCCAGCCTTCAAAGACGGCTTAACCATCTGGTGGCCCTGCTCCCCGGAGGATTCTGGGATTTGTTGTTCTCCGGGATGTTAATGTTCTTTCTTGCATGCATCTCATCCCCATTTTAAAGCCTTCTACACCTGCAACCAATCCCATTAGCCTGCCTGCTGGCAGAGGGACGCTGGAAGTCATAGTCCAACAGAGTAACCATCCGACCCCCGGCAACCTCCCTCCAACACGCCCCCATCCCCGCGTGTGTTGTTTTCATCCTGCCACATCCCGAGCTTCTGAGCAGCTTCCAACGGTCCCCTCCAGAGGTTGGAAAGAGTCAAGCCTTATGGGCTTTGTTCTTCCAGGGTGACTCCGGCGGTCCCCTCAACTGCCAGGCCTCCAGCGGGACGTGGGAGGTGCACGGCATCGTCAGCTTCGGCTCTTCCCTCGGCTGCAACTACTACCGCAAGCCCTCCGTGTTCACCCGGGTCTCCGCTTTCAACAGCTGGATCGATGAGGTGAGTGCCCAGTGCAGGCCGGTTCCTGAGGGCCAGTGGGGCGCAGACGCCACCACCCCCACTTCCAGAAAGGCCAGACCTTGGCCATCCTCGCCCCCAGGACGGCCCCGGAGGGGGACTTCACTCAGCACCACTGGCAGGAGGGGCTTCGCGGAGATTAGTACGAAAAGAACCCCTTCTTTGATTTGGGGTTACCTTTGACTCAACGGGCAATGAGACAAAGCCAGGTGCACCCCAATGCTGGAAAAGAAAAACCTCCATAATTAGCGCCCCTCTGCCCCTGCGGGGGATGCCATTCCTGCCGCACAGCTGGAGCGCTACACAGAAGGTCCTTGGCCCAGCTGTTTCATTCCTCTGCGTGTGAACTGGGCAACGTTTCCACTGCAGAGTCGCCCCGGTGGGCATCAGTCCCACAGTTCCCGCTCCTTCATGAGGGCGGCCACTTCCGTTATCACCAAAACAAGCGGGCAACAGAAGGTGCCACTCTTGAGTATGGTTGCATCCGCTAACCGATAGGTAGCCCTAGAAAGCTGGAAAGTGTTTTGGTTATTTAAATGGGAGTAACCAGCCCCTCTCCCTTGGGTGGGGAAGACCACGGATGGGTTCCTGGGTGGTCTCCTGCCGATTCTGCCTTCCTGTGGCTGATGAAGGGCCCGGAAGCTTCCAACCTCCCTCTTTTAGGTCTCTCCTTCCCTCTGGTGAACAAGTTCCTTTTCAAGAAGAATGTTCCAAGTCCCATCTGGCCCTGGGTGCAAAGGAGGTTCTGCCTGCCGGACGGTGTCCACCTCACCACGGCAGATGGACGATGGTCCACCCCCTTTCCCTTTGGACGGGGTTTACAGCGGAGAAACCGCCTCCAGCTGCCAAGGTCAAATGCAAACCCATTAACATCAGCACCCCTGGGCTACATGCTAGTGTTGCCCACATGCTCTAATAAAAGAACAGGACTGTAATCTATTTCTGTTTATTTATAGAGAAGCTTTTTACCACCCTTTTCTCCTTAAAAAGGACCCAGGGTGGCTGACATCATTAAAAGACAAGATTTAAACGCTAAAAACAATATGATTTTTTTAAAAAAAGTATCAAACAAGGGCCACCATAAAAAAAAAAGGTCAACAAAACCAAGGACAAAAGCAGACTCAAAGCAACAAAGCACAGCCCTGCTTTGAAAAACAACAACGCACACCCCTCCCGGGCAGCGTGTTGCGAATGTCGCTTGCAAAGTTGTGAAGTTCATGCCAGTCCCATAGGCTCAGTGGGTTGACCCTGGGGTGAGGGGAAACGAACGACCGGCCAGATCGGGGCCGGCCACCCTTTGGACCTTCTCTTTGTGCATCTTTGCAGGTGATGGCCTCCAATTAGCCCCAGGAGCGCCGGGACAGACGCACGACCTGCCAGGGATGAGATCTGAGGGTTCCAAGCGTTTGCGGAATAAAACCGATCGTGAACATAAAGCAACTGATGGTCTCCGGTCTTGAGACTAACGTTGGGGGCTGGTTTGCTTCCAGGATGGGTCTGGAGGGCTTGGTTTCATCTGCATGAAGGGTTACAGAGAAGGGATGGGTTTCTGTCTGTAAGGTCTCCTCCCTCTTCGCTCCAGATGCCTGGACCCAGAATAAGAGGTTCACACAATGCTTCCTCTGTCCTGCCAAGCCCACCGCAACTCTGGTGACTCTCTCTGGGTCTTCTAGGGCGGAAGTCCTCAGATGGGGCTCTCCGGTCCGTTCCTCCTTCCGCAGGCACTCTGGCGGCCGCGCTGTGCAGGTTGCCCCAGGCTGCCCGGGTGTGAGGGCACACCGCGTCCCATCAGCCACACACAATCCCTCCAGGGGATCTTGGCTGGATCCTCTCCTAAGAGACGCAGCAGCCCTGTGAACCCCCGGCTGTTGGCTCTGCACTCAAGCGCTGTGACCTATGAGCGACGCTGAACTGAATTTAGCTGCAGAGGGGTTGCAAAATGTCAACCAAGAAACACACTTCGGGGAAATGTGGTTGCTACTCCTTAAACCCTGGATGGGTGCCTTTCCATCAGGACACAGCAGTCCTGGACAGCACAGCCTGTGGTGAGGGATCATGGGCTCTGTAGTCCAAAAGGGGTCTCTACTACCCACCTGGTGCAGCCTGTGCGACGCTCAAGCGTCTCACACAGCCCGAAACCCTCTACTCCGTTCCTGCATTGCAAACGTGTTGGTGGCCTCCCAGTCGGCAGCACGAGGGCCCTCCTTTGAAAACCCCATGGTTCCCAACCATGGGGGTCTCCGGGGAAGCCCTGGCCAGCCTGGCCAGCCGGGGAGGCTTCTGGGAGGTTTTGTCTAAGGATCTCTGGAGACCCACGGTTGGGAGCCACGGTGCTTGAAAGGGAGGAAAGAGGGAGGAAAGTGCAGCCACACGAAGAGAGAGGAGTGGAAAGGAGGGCGAAGGGGGCCCCCGGGAGCCCCCCAGCCAGAACCACCAACCAGAAATGGCAGGAGGAGCAGGTTCTGCTCAGGACAGGGTGGACAGGAGCGTGAAGAGCCAACGGTGGTGGGTTCTGCTCCTCTTAGTTTAAGGAGGATCTTGAGAAGCCGGGACACATCTAGTGGAAGGCAGTCGCGACGGCCAAAGGCCTAGAAGCCAAGCCCCAAGAAGACGTTTAAGCCTGGGGAAGAAAAGGGTCACGGACAAGGCCCTTCGGGTCTCAGAAGGGCTGCCTCGTGGAAGACGGAGCAAGCTTGTTCTTGGCTGCGCCAGGAGGGCCAGCCTCAAAACCGTGGGTTCAGAGGAGAGGGGAGGAAATCCCACCGGGACCAGGGCTTCCCCAAGCTTGAGCCCTCAGAACTCCCAGAAATCATGGTCAGCCCAGCTAGCGGGGTGAAGGCTTCTGGGAGTTGTAGTCCAAGAACATCAGGGTGACCCAAGGCTGGGAACGAGCGATTTAGACCCTAGGGAGAACCTCTCCGGAGGGTCAGAACCGTTGAGCAGTGGGACGGGACTCTCTTGGGGAGGGCGGTTCTCCCCCAGGGGAGGTTTTTGAGCACAAAAGATCGGAGGGCCACCTGTCAGGGGAGGCGCTTTAGCTGGAGAGGTCCTGCTCCAGCGGGGATTGGGCCCCAGGGCTTTTGGGGCCCCCCTTCCAGGGCTACCGTCTTGTGATTCTGTGGCACAGGAAGATTAACAGAAGGAAAATAATGTCATACATTCATGTGGGAAATCAGATGAGCGTTCCATGTGAACATATCAGCCCGTGAGCTTGGGCACTAAGGGAGGGTCACCCTCCCCTGCTGAGGAGACCCGAGAGGCACAGGGCAGATGCCACCTCCAGGGCACTGTCCGAGGGGGGAGCTTTCCACCGGAGCCAGGAGACCGGAAAGATCCAGAAGGCGGCAGATAAACGCCTTCCTGGGGAAACCGCCGCCAAGAGGAGGGTCAAAGGGGAGCTGAGAGGACTCAGTGGGGAGGAGGAAGCAGAGAGCGAGCCAGGCGAGAGACCGGGCAGGGGCCCCAGAGCAGAGTGGGGAAGAGCATCCATGGGGAGCCCCTCTCTGGGCCCTGGAGAACTGTCTCAGCACGGAGGATCCTGAGAAGCCCAGCAAGGCCGAGCGAGGCTGAGGCCAAGGGTCACCCCTGGAAGCCAGAAGAAAGGTCTGGCCGAAGTGGGGGGGGGGCTCCTCCCACCCGCCACTTCTGCTTCAGTGGTTGAGCAGCTGTCGTAGGAACACACCTCTCAGGCCAGCGAGCCCCCTGTGGCCCTCTCGATGCTGCTGCTAGGACTGCAGGTCCCATCCTCCTTCACCCACAACCACCATCCAAGAACATCTAGAGAGCCACCCGGTGCTCACTCTCCCCGGCAGGCTCCACGTTCAAACCAGCCAGCTTGCACAGGCGGCATAGAAATACAGCGCATTTAATTGCACAAAACGGCATGGCACTTCTGTTCTGCCCCATTCCCCCACCCCCCAAAGAGAGGAAACGGGCTCCTTGGCTTCAATCTCTGGGCCCTGCTTCTTCCTGTGCCGAGCCGGGCTGGTCTAACAGCCAGCCGTGGCTCCCCTCAGCCGTTCTGGAGGGAGCTGGTGGGTGAGGCCAACACGATGTCAAAAGAGGCGAACGCCCTCACGTGGCTCCAATTCCCAGAGTTCCTCAGAATGGAAGGAAGGGGGAGGGGAAACAGAAAAGTGTCATGATGGCTGAGCTCGATTAAAGCTGCCTTCTGCCTGCCCAGGAAGAAGGTCCACCAAGAAGTGTAGGAAGTACGGATTTGGATTCACCCAGGGCCTCCTCCTCCTCCTCCGGAAGGCAGGTTAAACCGAGGGCATCCATGCCTCAGTTTAAGAGGAAGGCATAAATGTGCGACCACCAGGCTTCCAGGCATTCCTTTCGGGACAGACAGCGCCTCCTACGAAACTCCAACATCAGGAACGGCTTGCTTGGGGTTCCCCCGCGAAAGAGAAGCGCCGTTTTTCACAGTAACCCAAAAATAAAGAAAAATCCTTCAGGCACCATCGGCAGCTGGACCTTTTCGAAGAGGTTTCCTGGGGATCCCCTCCTGCGTCAAGGCGACGATCCCCAGAAGCATCTTCGTTAAACCTTGAAGAAAAACCTCTTACGCAGGAAGTTAAAGCAGCCGGGCATTTGTTTGAAAGTCCCTTTCGCAGAAACAGCGTCTGCCACCTGGCGAAAGGAGAAGAGAGAAAGGCTGGGCTATCAGGACGGCTCGCACGCACACCCACCCCTCTTTCCTTGAATGACTGGCTGACAAGTGGGGTTTTTTTTATAAATGGGTTCTCGTACTGCATTGAATGTGCTCTGGTCTCCCTTATGTTTTTTGGTATCGTATTCATTGACCTTTTTAGTCCTGTCTACTCATTGTTACTAACTTAAACGCTCTTCTTTAAGTTTTAAGATGCCTTCGGTTCCTCCTTAAGGGGAAAAGCAGGTTAAAAACAGTTTAAAGAAAATAAAGAAACCAATAACCCCAAATTCTCAGTGGGGGACAGGCACCCCAGGGCTCCTGCGAAGATAAAAGACAGGGCAGAAAGAAGCAGGATCCCACCTTGGCCTTCCTGCAGGAAAGGGAAGACAGAAACCTATCGGGGAAATAAGCAATACGTCGGCACCGGCTTTTGCTCTGAACTTTCTGCGCCGAAGGGCCTCAGAGCAGACTGACCAGATTCAGCTCTCTGGTTGCCGGAGGGTCTCTGCGCTCTGAGAGGAGGAGGAGGAGGAGCAGCGGAAGGTCACCGAGAGAGTGTCTCCTCTCTGGGCCCAGATCTTCCCGATCAAAGATGCAAAATTTACCCTCAGCAGCATATCCAGCAGGTCCTCGGAGCCGGCGTATTCCTTCAAGACCTCGTCCAACGTCTCGACATACCAGGAGCCGGTCAACTTACTCCTCCAGGACACAAAACCTTGGGAACGGAAGCAAAACAGCTCAGTAAGACTGGATGCCCCCAGACGATAAGGGGGTCCTGAAACTGTGGGGCCAGGGCCCACCCCAGGTGGAGCAGCCTTCTGAAGATGTCGCCTCTTCACGAATCCTGAGACGCTTAAAAAGCGTGTTCAGAAGTGGTATCCCCTCCCCTTCTGCTCTCGAGGTGGTTTATCTCTGGACCGCAGTCCCTTGCCCAAGGCTGCCCAGGCTGGCTGTACTTGTGGGAGGCCCTGTGGGGGAATCAAACTCCCAGCTCTGCAACCAGACCTGAACCCTGGAGCGATCCAACCAACTCAAAAGCACTAGAAGAACCTGTAAACACAGACTTAAGAGGCGAACAAAAAAAATCTCAAGGAGAACCAAGTTTCCATGCCCACCACAGGCCTTAAAAGCCTACGTAAAAAGTACATTTTCGTTGGAAGGACGAGAAGGAGGAGGTTCATGCTGCCTTCTTGGGGGGGCACATTCCACAACGTGGGGGCAGCCGTTGGGACGTTTTCAGCCGTGTGACTGAGAGCGGGACCTCCTCTGAATAGCTTAGGTGCCAAGAAGGCTCCTACAGTCCATCCATTCGCTCTGACTCACGTCGTAGAGGGTTTTACCACCGGCACGTGGAACTGGGCCCAGAAAGGGATCCGCAGCTAGTGAAGCCATGGCCATCAGGAAGCGGAACTGGCCCCCGTCAGCCTCCCGGCGGCTGCTTCAGTTTTAACTTTGCAAATGCACTCCAGGAACAGCTGAGATCTGATCTGGCCTGTGGCTGACCAGCAGCATTTCCACCTTCTCTGGATTAAGTTTCAACCTGTTTGCCCTCACCCACCAACCCCTATTACTGATGACTGACACTCATTTAGAAGAGAAACCAGCTTCCTTGGAATCCGATGGAAAGGAGAGAGAAAGAGAGAGAGAGAGTTGGGTGTCATCTGCAAACTCCAAAACTCTGAGCCACCTTTCCCCATAGCTTCATGTACACACTAAACACAACAGAACTCCACAGCCCCATGAGGAATACCACAGGCCAATGTCCCAGGCGCTGAGCCAGGCACCCCCCCTTCTGAGGTTTGTTCAGGGAATTGAGACCAATTTAGGAGAGACTTCCAAACCTTTCACCAAACCATGCACTGCAGAACTCCGTAGCCACACGCATGTAACCGTGCAGTGTGGACAAGTGCCTGCAGGGCCTTGGAAAGGAAACAGTCCAACCCTCTGCAGGGGCTCACCTGGGAACGTGGAATAAGAGACCAGGATATCACTGGGGGTGGGCAAGCTTGCCCTAGCGTCCACTTGATCCGAGCCTTCTGCCTGTGCCTGAAAGGGGGTCGCATCCGATTCAGTGGCATTTTCATGGAGCTGGTGGTCGGGAGAGTCCGAATCCACTTGAAAACCCCGGTCGCATTCCTCTAAAGAAGCAAGAAGAAGCACATGAAACGCAAAGCCAGGCCCGAGGCCACAACGCCTACCCCGGGCACCTTTTGCCCTTGAGGGCATCCAGGCGCGCCTCTCATCCCTGCGGGTCACGTGGTCCCCTAACGCCTCCAGGGTTTACAGTCCCTCTGGCCCTCGATTGAGATCCCTGATCGTAGCCACTTTCGCTTACAAACATCGACCTAATAGACATACTTCCAAGAAAGTGGTGCTTAGAAACTCAGGCTCCGAGGCGGAAGTGCATAATTATTTGTTATTTTACGGAATGAATTAACAGATAGGTTTTTTTAAAAAAGCTCAAAACTAGCTGTTAAATGCTAGAAAATGGCGATCTACAGGGAAGGGTCATTAACAGGGAACCACAGAACGTTGTGCTCTCTTCAAAGAAAACAGATCTCCGAGTTGTGTGGGCTTCGTCTGTAGCTTCATCATTTACTCTTGAGCCGCCTAGAGTGGTCGAAATGACTAGATAGGCGGGGTATAAATATAATAAAATAAATAAATAAATGAGTACCAATTAAAACACGATGAAGCAGGCACTGTGGGCTAACAAAATGTGTGCTGTTGTCTTTTTTATCCATAGGGACAAACACTGTTTTAAAAATGTCATTCGTAAATTCTGTTCTTGATCATTTTCAGCAGGGCTTTACAGTATATGACATTGCTTCCCCCCCCCTCCAGCGCCGCCCCCTGCCGGCGCACTCTGCTCATTTACGAGCGTATGTCTTTAACCCTGCCCTTCTCTACGGGTTCCTAAAGTTCCAGCAACAACAGAATCGTGGCGTGTGATTGTCACCTGCCACCCTTCGTCTTGCATCTCGAGATCAAGGTCTGGCTTTTCTGAGTCACCGACTAACTTGTTCCTTGTTCTGGCTACAACCTGGTCATAACAGGTTGCGCTTAACGTGTTAATGTCAAAACAGCTACTTTTGCAGTAAAGGAAGAGCAAACGGAGGGGTCCAATTGTTTTGAAAAGTTGCATTCTTTTCAAAGCGTTATTTTTGGTAGCTTAGAGAGGCATCCTTTTTAAAAGCGCCAACGGGCTGATTTGCTTCTTCACCTGTTGCTAAAACTAGTTAAGGTCCAGGTGGATCCCTTCCCAGCCTCTGCTCCCGATCCTCCTGGGGCGACCACCAGCTCTTTCCGACTCTCGGGACCCTCCTCGTGGGTGAAGCCCAGCGCTCGGACACCCGCCGCCCCCTCCCAAACCCACAGAGTCACCTCCGCCACAAGCCTGGATGAAGAAGAGTTTGGGTTTCCCTCTCAGGCTGGGGCAGTTGGTCCCGTTGAAGTAGCCGACCATCTTTTCCACTGCAAGGCTTTTTCCGTCGGTGCCATAGATTCCGCCCGGAAACTGAATGTGGCTGGGACTTAAGAGGCGAACAAAAAAAATCTCAAGGAGAACCAAGTTTCCATGCCCACCACAGGCCTTAAAAGCCTACGTAAAAAGTACATTTTCGTTGGAAGGACGAGAAGGAGGAGGTTCATGCTGCCTTCTTGGGGGGGCACATTCCACAACGTGGGGGCAGCCGTTGGGACGTTTTCAGCCGTGTGACTGAGAGCGGGACCTCCTCTGAATAGCTTAGGTGCCAAGAAGGCTCCTACAGTCCATCCATTCGCTCTGACTCACGTCGTAGAGGGTTTTACCACCGGCACGTGGAACTGGGCCCAGAAAGGGATCCGCAGCTAGTGAAGCCATGGCCATCAGGAAGCGGAACTGGCCCCCGTCAGCCTCCCGGCGGCTGCTTCAGTTTTAACTTTGCAAATGCACTCCAGGAACAGCTGAGATCTGATCTGGCCTGTGGCTGACCAGCAGCATTTCCACCTTCTCTGGATTAAGTTTCAACCTGTTTGCCCTCACCCACCAACCCCTATTACTGATGACTGACACTCATTTAGAAGAGAAACCAGCTTCCTTGGAATCCGATGGAAAGGAGAGAGAAAGAGAGAGAGAGAGTTGGGTGTCATCTGCAAACTCCAAAACTCTGAGCCACCTTTCCCCATAGCTTCATGTACACACTAAACACAACAGAACTCCACAGCCCCATGAGGAATACCACAGGCCAATGTCCCAGGCGCTGAGCCAGGCACCCCCCCTTCTGAGGTTTGTTCAGGGAATTGAGACCAATTTAGGAGAGACTTCCAAACCTTTCACCAAACCATGCACTGCAGAACTCCGTAGCCACACGCATGTAACCGTGCAGTGTGGACAAGTGCCTGCAGGGCCTTGGAAAGGAAACAGTCCAACCCTCTGCAGGGGCTCACCTGGGAACGTGGAATAAGAGACCAGGATATCACTGGGGGTGGGCAAGCTTGCCCTAGCGTCCACTTGATCCGAGCCTTCTGCCTGTGCCTGAAAGGGGGTCGCATCCGATTCAGTGGCATTTTCATGGAGCTGGTGGTCGGGAGAGTCCGAATCCACTTGAAAACCCCGGTCGCATTCCTCTAAAGAAGCAAGAAGAAGCACATGAAACGCAAAGCCAGGCCCGAGGCCACAACGCCTACCCCGGGCACCTTTTGCCCTTGAGGGCATCCAGGCGCGCCTCTCATCCCTGCGGGTCACGTGGTCCCCTAACGCCTCCAGGGTTTACAGTCCCTCTGGCCCTCGATTGAGATCCCTGATCGTAGCCACTTTCGCTTACAAACATCGACCTAATAGACATACTTCCAAGAAAGTGGTGCTTAGAAACTCAGGCTCCGAGGCGGAAGTGCATAATTATTTGTTATTTTACGGAATGAATTAACAGATAGGTTTTTTTAAAAAAGCTCAAAACTAGCTGTTAAATGCTAGAAAATGGCGATCTACAGGGAAGGGTCATTAACAGGGAACCACAGAACGTTGTGCTCTCTTCAAAGAAAACAGATCTCCGAGTTGTGTGGGCTTCGTCTGTAGCTTCATCATTTACTCTTGAGCCGCCTAGAGTGGTCGAAATGACTAGATAGGCGGGGTATAAATATAATAAAATAAATAAATAAATGAGTACCAATTAAAACACGATGAAGCAGGCACTGTGGGCTAACAAAATGTGTGCTGTTGTCTTTTTTATCCATAGGGACAAACACTGTTTTAAAAATGTCATTCGTAAATTCTGTTCTTGATCATTTTCAGCAGGGCTTTACAGTATATGACATTGCTTCCCCCCCCCTCCAGCGCCGCCCCCTGCCGGCGCACTCTGCTCATTTACGAGCGTATGTCTTTAACCCTGCCCTTCTCTACGGGTTCCTAAAGTTCCAGCAACAACAGAATCGTGGCGTGTGATTGTCACCTGCCACCCTTCGTCTTGCATCTCGAGATCAAGGTCTGGCTTTTCTGAGTCACCGACTAACTTGTTCCTTGTTCTGGCTACAACCTGGTCATAACAGGTTGCGCTTAACGTGTTAATGTCAAAACAGCTACTTTTGCAGTAAAGGAAGAGCAAACGGAGGGGTCCAATTGTTTTGAAAAGTTGCATTCTTTTCAAAGCGTTATTTTTGGTAGCTTAGAGAGGCATCCTTTTTAAAAGCGCCAACGGGCTGATTTGCTTCTTCACCTGTTGCTAAAACTAGTTAAGGTCCAGGTGGATCCCTTCCCAGCCTCTGCTCCCGATCCTCCTGGGGCGACCACCAGCTCTTTCCGACTCTCGGGACCCTCCTCGTGGGTGAAGCCCAGCGCTCGGACACCCGCCGCCCCCTCCCAAACCCACAGAGTCACCTCCGCCACAAGCCTGGATGAAGAAGAGTTTGGGTTTCCCTCTCAGGCTGGGGCAGTTGGTCCCGTTGAAGTAGCCGACCATCTTTTCCACTGCAAGGCTTTTTCCGTCGGTGCCATAGATTCCGCCCGGAAACTGAATGTGGCTGGCCTGCAAGCGGATGATAGGGACGATGATGGTGATGATGGGCAGCCCTTCCTAGCCGCCAGAGGAATTCCTTCCAATAATCTGGGGCAGGGGGCAGGGGAAGGGAATGGGTCTCTAGTCTCTCTTTTTCCCCCTCCTGGCAGTCTTAAACAAGGAGCAATCATCAGAAGAACCACCGACAGCTTTTTAACCCCCCCTTTGAGTTGATCCTCCCCTTGGTGGGGTGATCCAGAAAGCTCAGGGAGAGGCCCCGTGGGTCGTTTTCATTGTGGAAATGAAACGGCCAGGTGGAAATTTTGCCCCTCCTGCAGGAACCAGAGAGAAACTAGGATCACAAGGAGGAAGGGTCCTATCTGTTGCTACATACTTCTGCAACGGATGTTTCCTGTTTTCGAAGCCTATTTCTGAATTGCAGAACTGTTATTTTGGTATTAAAACCTGCAGTGGAGGGAGCAGGAAGGAAATGCAAACGAAATAATCATGATTTCTTAGGAGATCTGCCAAGTTCAGTGGACTGACCCATTAGATTAACTCTAGAAGAAGAAAAAAAATCTTGTTTGACTATAAAGATGGCCCTCGTTTAACCAGTGAGCATTTTTTTAAAAAATAAAATGTTTTCCTTATTTTGAACACATACATGTATGTGCAGACAAAGAAAAATGCCTTTAAGATGCGGTTTAACTTTTTCTCTCTCTCTTTCCACTTGTTTCTATCACATGGAAATATATGCGGATTAAATCAATACACCATAATTGACCAATTAATGGAAACTCCACAGTTAAGGGACTAAAAACTTGTTTCAATATCCTTCTAGTCAGGCGTTTCTCGTTGTCCCCGCCGGCATTCTTTATCATATATCAAAGGCAGGTCCTCCGCCCCAAAGGGCTTACAATTGCACGGTGTGCTCACCTGACAGCCGTGGGAAAGGAGGACCACAAGGCAGCAGTCCAGCGGACGGTGGTCTCGCCTTGCCAAGCTCTGCAGCTCCCGGACAATTTCCTAGAGACCGTTCCCAAAGAAAATGAACCAGTGTGAATGACAATATTAATGGGGGTTCTATCATCATTCCCGCCTTCTCTGAAGGGGAAGCCTCTGGGAAACCACCTTAAAAAAAGGTGTTGTTCACCCCACCCCATATCCTGTTTGGGTTAAGCCTGGGGATCCTGAGGGCAGAGAGCGCCTTCACAAGTCCCGAAAGGGCTGGGGGCCACAGGATAACTCTCGCTCTCCTCCGGAGACGCTGCCACCGCCCAGAACGGGGCTGGTGAGGTCGAGGGTCCCTTCGGGTTCCCCGACTCGGACAAAAGCTTCTGCTCCGGAAGGTCTCAACTCACAGCAACCCGGACGGGGCGGCCCGGATCCTTCCCAGACGCACCTGTGCCTTCAGGTCTCGCCGGCTCAAGACCTCAAAGTGCAGGGCCCTGAACCGCCTCTCCAGCTTCTCGCAGTCCACGTCGGAGCCGACACGGGGCCGCAGGTGAGTTTCTGGGCTGAAATTCACGTTGTTGATAATGAGGCAGTAGCCGCAGGGGTCACTTTTCAGGACGTACGCCTGTTGGACAGAGAAGCCAGGAGGGGGAGGCTAAGCCACATTCGCACGGTGCCTCCCCCCCCGAGAAAGGCCCTCCCTCTGGCCCCAAATCCGAGGATCTTTTGGGAGGGGAGGAACAACACACGATCCCACCCAGGCTGCATTTTCTGGGCAAAAACGTCCTCTTTTCAATAACTGATTAAGTTCTTGTTTGTTTTATTCCCGTACAAACACACACACACAGAGGTGGACCTGTGAATCGTGGAGAGTCTAGAGTCCAGGAAACAGGCATCATCCACAGCCAGAACATTCTTCTCAAAGGGATGCTGAAGGGTTGGGGTAGCCCTCACCCTGAAACTTGCCTCCTGCTCCAGGTGGGAATCACACACCCGACGGCAGTGGCAGCCGCTGGCCTTGGCTTGTTCAATGCCATAGTTGAAGGGATCAATTCTTTCTGGACTTATAAAACCCAGAATGCCCCCAAGACAGGATGGCCATTTCCTGAGCTGTATTTTGCTTCCTCCAGCGAATGGATACTTAAAGACAGTACAGTAGGGCCCCCCATATCTGCAAGATCGGTATCCACAATTTTACTTATCTGCAGACTGAAAATATTAATTTTATATATATATATATACACACACACATATACACACACACCGTTTCCCCCAAAATAAGACCTAACCTGAAAATAAGCCCTAGTAGAATGCTCATCATATAATATTATTAGGCATCCTTCAGTCTCAAAAGACTATGGTAACGTGCTCTGTATGAAGGACTTGGAACAGCGTCTAGTGTGGCTGAAGAGGCCAATTTGAGAGTGACCGTCCCTTCCTCACTAAAGACAGATCCAATCTGTCCCCTGTCCAGCTCCCTGATTTTGCTGCTTTTGTGACTTCCTCTTTGCCTCGGCCTGCTGCACAAGGATCTCTTCAAATTGGGAGAGGCCGTGATGCAACGCCTACCTCCAGGCTGAACACTCGGATGTCAGGGTTTCCCATCTGTTGAGGTCCATTCCTAAGGCCTTCATCATATAAGCCCTACCCTCAAAATAAGCCCCACTTAAGTGAAACCCTGTCCTCCACCCTCGTGCAGCAACCAGAAGAGGATATGACTTGGAACCAATCCCCTGCAGATATGGGGGATCCTTACTATATTAAAATATTATTGTATTAAAAGATAATTTAAAAACACATGAGTTAAAAAGAGCAGGTGCCAACCAGTTGAAAGACCTGGTCCTAATGAAGCTGGCAGAAGCCTAGAGGGCCATCTGCGGGATGATACTGCACACCCTGTTCTTTGGGGCATTTTTTTCCTTGCACCATCTCGCCCCATTCTGAAACTAGAGAAGCCGTGTACAGCAGGGGGGGGAAAACCAACCGTTTCAGAATTCCTTCTGGATCTCTCTTCCAGGGAACCTAGAAGACAAGACAAAGGTTAAGAGATATCTTTCCAGTGGAGTTGTAGAGTCCCAGAATCACAGAGCTGGAAAAGATATTTGCGACAAGAGCTTCCGGCTCGCCATGAAAAATTCAGGGGAGACGCAACACGGGTCTGCAGGGATTCACAAGGCTGTTGCACAGAAAAGGGAGCAGAACAGTTGCCTGTTGTCTGAGGGCCAGGACTGAAACCAACGGGGGTGGGTGGATGGCTGCTGGGAGGAGAGCCAGTTTAGGTCGAGCACGAGGAGAAATGTCCCACTAGTGGTGAGAGATGCTTGACAGCAGGACAGCCTACCTTGGAAGGGTGTGAGCACTCCATGCCCTGAGATCATAGCACGGAGCTGGGAGGGGCCCCATAAGACCATCCAGCCCCACCCCCTGGCTCAGGGCAGGAATCCAAATCAAAGCTGATTGGACAGAAGGTGGTCCAATTTCCTCTTGAAGGCCTCCAGTGTTGGAGCACTCACCACCTCCTCCTGAGGTCTCGGGTTCCGTTGTTGTACTGCTCTAACAGTGAGGAAGTTTTTCCTGATATCGAGTCAAAGTCTGGCTTCCTCTACTTGAGCCCATCGTTGCATGTCCTGCACTCTGGGAGGATCGAGAACAGATCCTGCCCCTCCTCTGGATGACAGCCTTTCAAGTGGATGATGACCTTTTGAAAAGGGCCACCCTACCCCCCCCCTCAGTCTTCTTTGCTCAAGGCAAGGAAGGAGGGCCCATTCTTTCCTCTGGGGGCTTGGCTTCCAGTCCTCTGATCACCTTTGCAGAGATACGTAAGAGGAGGTCGGACAGTTATTTCTCAAGATTGCTGTTGTTGGATCTTGTGTGTGTCTCCTTTCTTTTTTCAGATCCACAAGCACCTGAACATTCTAGAACAGGGTCTGCCTAATTACAGAGAGAGAGCATCCATTTCCCCAACTTTTGTACGGAAGGGAATATAATGAAAACCATACTGAGAAAGAGCCTGGATTTTGGCCGGTGATTAGAAAGCAGTTTCCTCCTTACCTTGACCAGGGGCACCGGCTTGTTTGGACTCTTGGCATTTCTCATTCACTGCTTGGACTGGAAGAGGCACATTTTCTGAAGTCCCGTCCCCTAGAAGCAGAAAGAACGGTTCTGAATTATCGTTTAAAGAATTCTCTCATGTGACATCAAGATGTGTCCAACGTACACTGGCACCTACACCTGCAAACTCAGGGTCCAGAATCCAACTGGCGTTCACGAAAGGTCTGCGTAACTTGCCTTGGCTAATTGCAGCAAACGGAGGAGGTGCTTGGCGCACCTCAGTTTTGCAGTCCGCTACGTAATCAGGACACCCCCTGATACCGAGTCTGTTAGCTACAATTACCCAAGGCCAATTATGTAAAACACCAGTAGGACTCCAGCCCATTTTTAAGCAACAGCTCTGTTATTTTAACACTAGAGGGTGGAGAATATGTGGCCCTCCAGACGGTGCTGGACTACGTCACCCATCATCCCATTCCCACCAGTGTGGAAGTGGGACTGGGTGGCCTGGAAGAAAATAAGTTGGCAGAATGGGATGACTTTGGGATCAGATGAATTCTTGATCCATTTCTTCATTCAAACTTTGAGAACACCCAAAGGAGCAACAAAGCCGACCCAAGTATTGATTAGACCAAGGCTTTCTCTACGGGCCCCGGATCCAGGGATGGAAAGCCTCGTTAGTCTCATCTTTTCATGGAAGAACGAAGAATTCCAATATCCTTTTCCATCCTGGTTAAGGATGGCAGAGAATGTCGGTCCTCTTAATAGAGCTCTTGTCTTAGACAGATGACGATTTACGCCAAAGAAATATATCTGTTTTGGCACAAAATCATTCAGCTTTGTAGATTGCCCAAAACTAGAATGAAGCACTTGGTGAGCTATTTGTATATTTTTATTTCAGAGTCGGAAGCACTTGATGGGTTACTTGTATGTTTTATGTCAGAGTCGGAAGCACTTGATGGGTTACTTGTATGTTTTATGCCAGAATCAGCTAGCCCTGTGCTAGCTGTGTGGGCCCTTTGGATTTCTGACGAAAGCACACAAGGGACATTTTAGGCAAACTACAGCAACTTTAGAGATAGAAAGGAGCTCTTGGTCTTGCTCTCAGATAGAAATGAAGACTCTCAGAGCTTTAAAATTCTATGTGGGGTCTCTTTATGGGAAGATAGGAAAACATAGAATAGTATGAGTTTTTTCCCCACCCCATTTGGAAGGCATTTGTTTGGGCTGCAAAGTCAAAGCAAAAAATTCACGAATCGAACCTCATGCATTCTACCCGCAAATACAAGCGCGTTGAGCCAACCTGTTCTGGAGGTCAATGGGAAGCCAACAATGTTTTCCCCCACAAATCCCTGTTTTAGGGGGATCTAAAAGGGCAAGAAAGCCAAAACAGGTGGTAGTGAGGGGAGCCGGAGACCAGCGACCTCAGGAGGCCCGTGTCCTTTTCAGGAGAGTTGAGCCTGCACTCAAACGAACCTGAAACGAAAACTGCGAGCAGAGACGTCCCAGCCCGACAGGGAGGTACTCACGGGGTCTGCTTGGCCCGCCCCGCAAAGGGACTTCCACTGGCCTGATCTCCACGGGAGGGACCGGCGTCTGGTCGAGTCCTTCACTCAGCCAGGCGGCCAGCTCGTGCTGGCCAGATTCTTGGAGGCACTGGAGGAAGGTGGGGAAGGCCTGGCGCCCGCGGGTCTGCAGGTCAACAATCAGCTGCCTGGCTTGGTCTCGCCTAGTCCCCGCTTGCTGGAAATAAACCGAAAAGCCCATTCTCTGAGGTTTGTTGAAGGAAGAGCAGAAGCAGCCTTTCTTTGGTAAAAACAGGTTACAACCGGGGTGGGTGGGTGGAACCCAGGCACTACATTAAATATAAGAGGAGCCACTCCTTTACACGAAAACAAGGGCATTATTCTAAGAATCAGAAAGAAGCTCAAATCCAGGACATTTTTAAAATTCAGAACCTCCCCCTCCCTCCAATCATCATCATCTTAGAAGGGACACCCTCTGGGGCCATCAGGGAGTCAAGCCCCTGTCAAGGAGGGACCGTGGGGGGATTCGAACTCCCCACCGGGGGCTCTGCAGCTGGAGACCTAGGCGAGGAGCCCCCCTGGTGACCTCGAAGGGGCCCTGAGATGCCTCTAGCAGGACAGTGGGGCTGAAGATCCCGTTGGGGGGGGGGTCAGCCATCCACATACACCCTGCCATTACAAACCATCCTCATCATCCTCAGGTCTCAACCTGGCCCCTCCCCATCCAGGCGCGGTGGCTTTGAGGAGGGAGGTATCATCCAGGCACGGGGTTCAAATCCTGCTCCCGTTTTCCACCCCGCACCCCTCAGGCCCCGGGAGAACACCCCTCCTGCGCTGCCCTGGACGCCCCAGGCTCTCCAGAGATGAACCCCCCCCCCGAGCAGCTTTAGGCAGGGAGAGGGGCTGGGCCAGATTCCCCCCCCACCCCCAGCTACTCTACTCACTAGACCTCCCAGCCCTCCCTGGAGCAAAAGAGTAAAGGGGGGGCGAAAGGCCCTGGGGAATCCCCTCAACGTGTGTGGGGGGGTGTCAGGAGGCGGCACCTGGATCTCCTCGAGCATGTCCCGGGAGAAGAGGCCCCGGCGGAGCAAAGGCTCCCAGAGCGGCGCCACTCGCAGTTCCTGCACTAGCCGGAGGCGCCCCCGCTGCAAACGCTCCCGCTCCCGCGCCTCCATCGCCTCTGCGCCTGCGCCGAGGGAGGGAGGGAGAAAAAAGGGGCCTTCCCTGGCCACGCCCACGAGGAGGTGGGAGGGAGGGAGGGAGGGAGCTCTCCTGGTGACGTCACGGCCTGTCCCTCCTCCTCCTCCTCCTCCTCCCCCGATCAGCTGCGTGTGGTGGGGTCTCCCTGGCGGGGCTTTCCCGGACCAGAAGGGGGGGAGGGAGGGAAGGGGGTGGGAGGGCGAGTCAGGAGCCGACCCCCCCAGGCGCCCCCCTCCCCGCAAAGACCCACTTTATTCCTCCCTCCCTTCCTGCTCTCCTCCGGAGAAAGAGACCGGACAGCGTTGCAACGCTCTCTCTTTTTTTAATACAGTATTATTATTTTTAGGAAAAAAATTATTAAAGAAAAATAAAGAGTAAAAACCCTCACATGAAATGTGTGTGTACGTGCAATACAGGACACCTAGAGGTTTCATGGCCCTTGGGGGCAGCTAACCCAGTATGTTCTCTCTTTTCTCCCCATCCCACTCCAAACAGGCATATCCCTTCTGAGGCTGCCTGAGGACCTTTCCTTTCCACAGAGAAGGGGATTCCGCCCTTCTTTACAATCGTTATACTTTGTCATTCCTCTTCTTGCTTTTATTTCACATGTTAGTTTATCGTTAATCACTAAATTCCACGCTTCTTTATACCAGTCTTCAACATTAATTCTTTTGCCATTTTTCCAATTCTTTGTGCATATTACTGTGACCATGACAACAATTAACTGTGTTATTTCTTAAGAGTGTCATTCTTGATTGTAAGAACTAAGCCGGGTGGAACAGCGCATGCGCTACCGCTCCTCGCCCCTCCCGGCTCAGGCTTCCCAGAATGCACCGCGGCCATAGCGACCTTCCCTCGCAGCCGGCCTTTCCGGGCCGTCATCTAGAGGGGCGGGGCTTATCCAGCGCCGGAAGTGAACACTCGCTGCGCCGTCGCTATAGTGACGGCGGCCGGAGGCGGGGCGGCAGAGCCGGAAGTGGAGTCGGGGGCCAGACAGGAGAGCCCCAGGTGAATATGGGGGCCGCCCGCCGGCTTTTCTCTCCCTCCGGCTCCCCCCCCTCAGTTCCTCTGAGGTGACCCCTCGCCTCAGGGAAATGCCGCGAGTAGCCACCTGACCGTGGGGTGGTGGTGTCGGGAGGACGCTCTAGCCCCCTCCGTCTTTCTCACTGGTCCGGGGGAAGGAAGGGGGTCAAGGGTTCGCGGGGGGGGGAGGAGGACAGGCCTGTGGAAGGTTTGGGGTGGGGGCTTTCCTCCCCTCCCTTATTCGGCCCCATTCCTCGTTTCTCCCTTGAGCGTGGGCGGGGGGTAACCTGTGTGTCCTCCGTGGTCGTCCAGGCGTGGCTCTCAGTGGCCAGGGGAGGGGGGAGGGGGCGTGTGGCCTGGCTGTGCCAGCCGGAGATGGATCACTAATCCCTCCCCCTTTTCTCTTTCCCCACCCCACTTTCCCGTGGCCTTTGCTTTTCCCTTCCAGCCCTGATGAAGAGCCTTGCTGAATCCAGAAGCTGGCATCCTCTTTCTGGGACCCTGGGCTCCGCCTAAGAGAGGTACAGCTGGCCCTCGGCCTTTCATACGGGGCGTGCATGAGGGTCATGCAGGTGCCCAAGGATGGAGCCCTTGCCTGGCATCCCAAAACAGCACCTGGGCTCCTGCCAAGGACGGCCTGCTTTGTGAAATCCCCCCCCAAGGAGGACAGAAAGCTTCAGGTCTATTGGCAGAATGGTTGTGCAGAATGGCTGCCTCTGGGGAAAGAGTTACATTATGACCACCTGTCGCTTAGCCAGCATTTGCCAATAACCCACCACCATCCCAGCCCTCGGGAAGCTGGTTCCTGTATGCAGTGTGTTTGAAAAGTCTCTGGTGTGTTGACCAGACCTTTTGTCATGAAATGCAGTCTGTCTTTAATCTCCTTTGGATCTTTCCTTACTTCGTAGTGAGAGCGCTAAAGTCAGCAGCAGACAGATCGATTGATGGTTTATACAGGATTTCTTTTTCCCTTTATGTTTTCAGACAGGTTGAGTCTGGGGCTGTGCCCTCAAACCTGGCGCTTTCTGCCTGCAGAACATTTGCTGTTCTACTGAGCGTGGACTTCCTGCCTTTGTCTACCTCAGGTAGAATCAGGACTTCCACATTCCAGAGCTTCATATCCATAAGTATCCGCTGAGCCTTGGGACAACAGCTGGGGGGCAGGAAGTTCCCTGCCAGCTTGGGCCACTCTTTTGCTGGGACTTTCAACCTAATGGCTCTTTAAATTTCAAGTGTTGTCCCATGGAAAGCGAGGATGTTGGGAAGGAGATCAACCCGCCATATGTAGACAGAGCCAAAAAACCTGATTCTCCCACATCAGGGAGATGAAGAAGATTTGGTTCCAGCAGATCCAAAGCCAACTTTGACCTACCACTAAGCCACCAAACTACGGCGGCCATATAGCCAGCCGTAGGGTTCTGCAGGTGGTGTAGGGCTGCTAGGGCAGGCGAAGGCTCCTGCTTCCCAGCAGATCTCTCTTATTATTATTGGGAGGGTCTCTTCCCCCCATTCTCTAGGGTGGGATCATTCTGGCAGCTCTTATTATTTCACAAGATCCTCTTGGCTTGTTTTTGCTACAGTCTGCTCACTTTCTCTTCTTCTGGATCACAGTAGCCAAAGGATCGCTCTGTATTGGGCTTGGGATGAGATTTGCCCTTTCTGGCCTCATCTCCTATCTTTGGTTTCTCTCCTCATTTGTGTATGCAGGCGTAGGGGTGGGAAATGGCTGTAACTGTGCTCCAGTTATGCCCAGCTCTGCAGTTCTAAGGCTGTAAGAAGCCCTAAATCCCTGCCCGCTCAATAGGCCTGACTTTCAATGATTTCAGCTTTGCAGCTCTCCACAGCAGTTTTCAGCCTGCCTACTTGGAAGCAAGTCCTCATGAGTTGAATTGGGATGAGCCTTTATTTGTGGTTTAAACAAGGTTGTTTCAGTGTCTTTAGGTTGTCCGGAAAGCTTTCAGCTGGAACATTTGTTCAGTGCCTTGATTCAAGTGGGTCCTGATTTATCCTTTATCCATGTATTTTTAAGGAAGAGGCTAAAATCCTATAGATTTTGTTTTACACCAGTGTAATGCACTTGTTGCAGAGCTTGTTGGCAAATTGCCACAAGAGGAGAAGTTGGCATGGGGTTTGTGGTTAGTCCCGAGTCATGTGACTTGATGCACAACAAGCCGTGGCTACACCAACTTTTTAACTTACCACAGCTAGTTAGTGTGATTTACCCCCATTGTGTTCTGCGGGTGGATATAAACATGTAAAAGTTTGCCCAGTGTTTAGATACTGTCTGACTGATGGTATCCTTGGGGCTTACGTTTTAGCATAGTTTGCTTATAGGCAAAATGAGGGGAAATGCCATGTTAGTTTAAAATTTTGTACAAATATTCAGATTTTATTTTCAGCAAATCAAGTATTTTAAATATCCTTCCTATTTTACATTCAGGTAAATTGGACATATCAGGGATTATTTTAATTGTCAGCATCTTCAGAGAATGGCTGAGCTCCAGGACTAAATCAGAGCTACAGTGAGTGATCCCACTGAATCAGTGGGGATTTGGTGAGTCAACTCCTCCATAAGTTCCATGGATTCAGGGGGCCTACTTTAATTTTGACTTATTGCTGGGTTTCAGCTATAGTAATTCTACTATAATATCCCCTGCCATTCATTTAGGTCTTAAGATTCAAGGAAATGGTAATGTTTTACATGCTACTTTACAACACTCAGACAGTTTTACACATCACCTGAAAAAAACTACAATTTAGAAAGTTTTCATAGTTTAACTGGTTGGTTTTATAGAACAGTACACTTTTCAAAAGATACTCAGTGTGGTGTAGTGAATAGAGGGCCAGATTAGGCCTTAGCAGGCCTGGGTTCAAATTCCCACTCAGCCATGCAAGCTCACTTCGTGTGTAGAACTGGTAAAACCTTAGAAGCTCTATCAGGGTCACTATACGTTTATTCTGACTTGACAACATATAACATTTGTTTTAATTTGAAGTAGAACTATCTGTGGAAAATGCCAGTGGGAAATGTTCAGTGCTTTTTATATAGCCGTAATGGTGCCATCAGTTGCTACCCATGTATCTCTGGAAATGTGCTCCATCTGGTTATCGCTTTGGAGTTCCACATAGATGTTATTGTCGGTTTGTGAAGTGGATGCCCTGTTTCCCAGGGCACATGTGAAGCACTGGGCCGGTCTCTCCAGTTTCCTGGAAGTGGACCAAAGTGGATTCAAGGAATTTGGCCCATGAGCCATTATTTGCCACAATTTGATTGAAAGCTAGACCTGCAGTCCGGTGGTGATGGGGTGACCTTGAGGAGGGGAGACGAGGGCAGTGACCGTTTGTGCTTTGGGGGGGAGGGAGGTGGGGCTGAAGCCACCAGCGCCACCTGAAGCTTCTCGGCCACCAAATGCCTAACATTGTCTTCTGCATCTTCCAGCTTGTCTCACCCCCTCCAGGAAGCACCATGGAGACGAAGCGCATAAGCCTCTGCCTGCTCGTGGTTCTGTTTCTTGTCCTGGTCCTCCAGATCTTATCGGCCATCGATTTTGACCCCTATCGAATCCTTGGAGTCAGCAGGACAGCTAGCCAAGCGGAAATCAAAAAGGCTTACAAGAAACTCGCCCGGGAGTGGTGAGTGAATCAGAAGGAGACTTTCCGGGTGTCCCTCTTGGGACCTGCTGAGATAGAAAAGTTCCCTTTTTCTGCAGAGCTTGGAAAAGTGCCCTTTTTTTATAA